CCAACCCATTAGTAGCCAATTATGGTGGCTTTTTAAAGATCCTGGTGAGTTTTTTTGGGGTAAGGCAGGCGGGCGCGGCATAGAAACCTTTCGTTCCTCAAGGCACCTTCCTAACGGAAGGCACCCTCATTATTGGGAAAACTTATGGATTAATGTAGAGTCAGCCTTCGGCTGAATTATTAGCAACACTGATTAGACTAAAAGGATAAGGCGAGATCCGCAAGGGCTTGGCGAGATCAAGGCAAGAACTAGAGTTGTGTATATATTTTTAGCTTTAGAGCCCTTTAGACATGGCCTACCGGGTGTAATAGATTTGTGTGTATATGTGCAGTACCATGCCCTACCACCCTTTTGCTAACACTACCCTTTCGCTAACTAAAAATAGCTACGCGCTATATAAAACTCAACTATTTCACTTATACGGAATTTAACCAAAATAGAAGTTATTTGCAAGTAGTTACTTCTTATAAATAGAAAATTAAATGGAGTTTATTTTTATAGTCTTATATATCTATATAGGGCATATAATATATGCAGATCCCTATACTATAAAGTCACCAAATTAAACATTAAATTCCTCACTGCTTCTTTCTACTTTTTTTTATATCAGTTTTTTACAACACAATAAAAATACCTTTATTACAGCCTTGCTGGAAATATATAGAAGATAATATAGCTGAGGCTATATTGGATATTATAGATAACGGCCTTTTACAGTTTTAATTAGCTTAGAAGTAGAAAGTACTATAAAGAACTCTTTCTAATAGACTTAGTAGTTAGTTAGCTATAAATAAATAAATTCAGCCTGGATAATATCTATTTAAGTATTAGAAAGATAAATTAGCTTTTTGGATTCTTTATTAAGAGGCTTTAAGATATACTCTATCTTATAGTTAAATTTATACCTATATCTTTACTATATTAAAATAATAAAATAAATAACTAATATTAAGATGTAATTAGATAGCTAGATTTATTTAATGCTATTTCAAGCTTAAGATTAAGATTAGAAGATATTAAGAAGTTAATAAATTTGACTTTTTCACATCTAAAACAGTCTATTAATTCTTTAATATTAGAAAGAAGGAGTATAGGTAGATTAAGCCTGAGAATACTATTAATGTTAATAAAGGCGGTATTATAATTAGTTTTAGCAAGCCTCTACCTCTTTATTTCCTTTTTATTTAAAATCTAATTAACCAAACTTTTCTTATTAGGCCTGGATAGTTTAGTAGTTGGAAGTATAGACTCAAAGTGGAAGGCTCTCCTTAAAGAATTATAGATGTAAAATTGGACTTTATTTATTAAGGCTATTACTGCTAATAGCTATATTTTAACTTCTAGAATTATATTTAAAAAAAAGAAACTCTAATAGCAGTAGTTTCTTAAGGAATTTAAGAAGATAGCTAATTAATATTATATAACTTCACCTAATAAATAGATAGATAACTATATTAATATTAAGTAGCTTAAAAGAGTCTATTTACCTTAAATTAAGCCTACTAATAAGTTAGATACTAGATTAATTATTCTAGATGGCTATGGGAGTTATATAATAATATATTCTTTATTTATTTAGTTGGGGATTACTACTAACTGGGAGAAGAATAAATAGATAGCTACGTGCTTTTTGAATAATATTTATTATTGCTACCTTCTAGTATACTGCTTTCATAGCCTCCAGCTATTAGATAATAGAGTATTTAATGCCTCTAAGGCTATATATTAATAAGAGTTAGAAAAGTTCGCTTTCCTAACTAATTCTACACCAGTAGATAAGGTTAACTTCATCAGAACCTATACCAGAACTCATAAAGTAAAAATAATAAAGAAGAATATACTCTCTAGCTAAAGAGTAACTAGAAATTGGCCAATCTCATAAAAAAAAGCATTGCAGTATCTAGAGATCTAAGAGAACAAGCTACATAGCAATTTAAAGACAACTCCAGAGAAGGCATCTTATTTTAGCTTAGATGATACATTAAAGACCAGTCATTATATTTATAATCTTAGCCTAAACAAATCACCAAATACACAGAGGCAATATACTATAATAGCTAAAGGCTTTGAGGCTTAGCAATAAACATTGGCGTTATATGCTGTGGAAATTGCTAGTCTGAAGAAGGAACTAGCCTGTCTAAAGAGAGGGAAGAAGAGGAAGGCTATTCCTAATCCCAATAGGCGTTTTATGAGTCTTAGTGAAGCTCTAGCCGCCGCGGAGGATATTCCCAAAAAAGGAAGCAAAATAAATGCTGTTGTGGTGGAATCTGACTCTTTGGAGAAGTTAGTCTCAGAGGCGGAGACTGCTTCGGTTATTGTAGTCAGGGAGGAAACTGAAACTCCTTAGCGCACCACCCAATCCGGTCGGCTGGTCAAAAGACCTAAAAATACATAAATACTTCAATTCTCTATCGAATTATATTTCTTTTATATTTATATTATTAAAATTAATTATAATCCGTAAGGGTTGAAAAAACGGATTTTTAGTGGAGATGGCCACAATTTGGTTAGCGAAAGGGTGGTGTTAGCGAAAGGGTGGTGGGGCATGGTAGGGTGCTGTTCGCCCAAGACGCGATCTTATTGACTGAGTCCTCTCGAACACAACCGAAATCCGACACTCTAAACTCATCATTGATCCCATCGCTGTGTCCACTGGAGGAAGGCTTCAGCTGACTCTTCTTTAGACGCTGTCTGTAGGGATGCCCTCTGTTCTCTGTTGTAACGTTGTTGGATGAGAGACGGCCGCGTACAGCGAGCGAGGAGCTCGTTGGCACGCTGAAGGCGGGTCCTGAAGTGCCTCTCCGCTGGTTTCTGGTATTTCTGTTTGACGAGTTTGAAATATATGGGTTCCGTTGGTGGAAGCGTGCACTTCGCGAGGGGATGAACCTCATCCAAGGATTTCAGTCGGGCGGAGAAACGGTATCGGCGTGCTTCGAGAAGCTGGGCGACTGGTGGTATCCCGCTTTCTCGGTGGCGGGCGCGATAGGTGTCGTCTTCCAGACGGGGAGTATGGCCTGCATGGATTGATTCATGGCTTTGTTCATTCTCAGCACAAGATGCTGAGTCCCTGACGCTTGGTCCTTCGACGGTTGGGTCCATCGTGGCCGGGTTGCTCCGGGGTACCATACCTCAGCACCGACGAGTAGTACTGGCTCAACACAAGCCCTGATGGCGCTCCGCACGGCGCCGGGCAATGGGCCGTGTGCGGTATTGGTAAGTCCTCGTAAATGGTGTGCGACAGCCCGCGCTTTGGCTGTCCACTTCTCCACGTGAGTCCGAAATGAGAGTTTGCTGTCGAGGTATCGGGTGCCAATACCAGTGGTAATTGGTACAGTAGGGTAGCTGTGGTTGCTCTGAGGTTGTGAAGGGGATCCACTGAAACTGTTTCGAATGCGTCTGCGGCTGACTCGAAGATACAACTGGCGTGCTGGACCATCCAAGAAGGTCCATTAGTGTTTGCCAAAGTCAACTACCTGAAGCAGATTAATTTTTTAGTCAGATACACTGTTTGCTCTCTTCGTTCTTTGTCTGGCTACTGTTGATGGCTTAAGCTTATAGTTCCTGCTGAATGATTATTCCAGTATAATATCCCTCGCCTCAAAATCCGTTAACTCCATAGCTTCGCACGCCATGAGCCCCGTCATACAGCCCTCACCGACCAGCCTATGTCGCCCTTCAGTGCCCAAACGCAAGACATACGGTATGCTCATTCCATCGAAAACACAGACAACGTCTCCTATATTGGTGCACTTCGGCACCCACCCCACGGCCCCTTTCCTAGAAGCGCCAAATCGTCGGCACATATTCTCGACTAAGATATTATGTATATCTTGAAAAAGAGGCAACTTATATATCTTACCTACTTCCTCTTGCACTTCAGTAGTGGTTTTGGCGTCGCATATTGCTTCAATGAACGCGCGGTATCGTCGAAAGCTTTCCGATGCCTCCTGCGAAAGTTCATAACTAAAGTGCGATAAAATGGCGCTGATGAACTTCTCGCCGTTATTTGCTGGGTGATTGGTATCATTACCGACTTTCGTGACAGATTCACAGTCCTTTAGCCAGTGGTGGACTTCTGAGGCGTATTTCCCTAAGGAGTCTGTCATGAATATCCCTGGGCCAGGTTGTTCACATAACTTGGTAAGGTTAATGTTGGGCGTCATTCCCATCGAGTCGATAACATCAACGATCCTGCCACAGATGCTCAGATAGCCGGCTTGTTCATCGACCGAAGCTTGCAGTAAGGAGTCACCCGCTGCATGTAAAAGGGTCCAGTTTAATACACCGAGTCTAGAACCAACTGCACGGGGACTCCTGGGTGCGTGCTTGATATAGGGTATCCAAGACTCCAGTACGCCGTGGTGGTCTAGCGAAATACCGTTAATAAAAGACCATAGTATTGTGAGGCTCCTGCTATTCCGGATGCAAAATCTAGCAAATCGCCGGTATAGTTCAATACCTGGGATGCTATAGTCGACCAACAGTTTGAGGTCAGAACTGCTGACATTAGAGGCGAGCCCCAGCAGCGCAATAATATGATCTCGAAAGTCTAAACAGTTAAATAGAAAGGTCGTATTTAAAAGTTCACAGAGACTTTCTTGTCTGTCCTTCAGGGACGCGAGGATACAGGCCCGTTGATACCATGTCGGCAGCTGGGAGTCGCTGTCGCTCTCTGGGCTACCATCAGCTCCTCGAGGGCAAGCGGCTTCAAAGTACCAGAAAGTCCGGGGATGATCCATGACATAATTAAGCCAGGAGGCTAAGAATGTCCAATGGAGTTTTTTTGTGCCGGCCACAAGTATTGGGCTCGAAGATTTGGCCAGTTCCTGCAGGATCTATTTGCGAGAGAACCAACTTTGTTGAAGGAGAGTCCCAATGTGCTGAGCCGCAGATAGAGGGTTAGGCGTAAAGGCAGCAGTAATAAGTTCAGCTTCAGCTTTATGTGGCGTTTCGATATCATCGACCGACAGACTCGTAGATTTGCAAGAATATACCAAGTCGAACTTGCGAAGGAACTCAAATGCTCGTCCGACGCTGTCCGATTCCGCGCCGAGCCATATCACGGTCGTAGCCGCTGCTGAATAAACCTCGCCCATAAGACGAACCTGGGAAGCACGCTCAGCTCTATTGTTCTGGTTGATACACAACGCGTCTGCCCAGATCAAGCGTCGGTATTGTCGGGATCTAATGTTGACTAAGGTATTGTGCAGGCTTGGGCCAATTTCGACCGCACGCCCAGAGCAGATAATTCTCTTTCGCGGAAGGGGATCTCCCCAAGCGTATGAGAGAGCAGAAAATTCGATAATGGCAGCAGTTTCTAGCGGTAACGTCCTCAGTTCCGCAACAAGTTCGTCGTCACCAGATTTAGTGTGGAGGTGAAGCAGCCTGATATTGCGGGGAGGTAGTGGAGAATACTGGTATGCTTCCATCCCTGCTAATTATAAAGTGATGGTTACTTACTTCGTGATGACGAACGGAAGGTGTTCTTAATAACCTGAGGCTCGATGCGGTTGGAGTCTAGTTGTTGGAAATTGTTATGATGGGAATTGTCCCTGGGCGTCTTGGGCAAGAGTTTTATCTGGTACTGACCATTTCAGAAGGAGGCGCAAGCAGTTAGCCTGGCTACGTAGCCACCAGGCTGAGCCGTTTATATGTAGTTGGGCGGTAGTAAGCCTTACCACTCGTCAGACGACGATTCGGGAAATTATTCTGCCCCACCCAAACAACATTTTGCCTCCAACCGTGGAGAGCCAATTCTGTGGCTCCAGGTTGAAGTAGCTCGCTTCAGGCCTGACAAAGTCGGACCAGCTCATGCCATCTCACGCAGAAGTGAACAATGGTTCCTCAGGAAGGCAGAGAAATATCTTGACGTCGTGTTTGATGTCGTATCTGGGTTGTGATTGTAGATCTATGATTTGGTTTGTCGATGCTAGTCGAACAGACCGAAGAATAGAGGCAACAGAATGAGCCTGCATAGTTGTCATTCGGCGGAGCACCATCACAGCCGTTCTTTTGGAGTAGCACCTCTGCAGTGTCGGATGACCGCCCGATCATTCGGAGTGGAGGAGTGGAGGTCGGGGACCGCCGCCGAACGAATCCCACCGAAGAGGTAGACCGAAGGCAGGGTAACATGAATCAGTACGTTAAGGCAACTCACACACTTTATTCAACAGATTCCCCCACCTTACCACAACTCAAGAGCAGCGCCCGGCTTGAGAAGCTTTATTCGCGGGGTCAGCCCGAAGAGGGACCAAGCAAGGACCCATGTTTCATAGACGCGCCGTGGCTGGCGCCAAGGACCCAATTTAAATCACCAAAGTTGGGGCTTTCATAATTACCTGTCGCAAGTCAGGCATGATCTCAACGAGCCTCAGGAAACAGGGTCTTCATACCTGCACCACCGGTGGTGCAAATAAGAGCCGTTATGTAAGTGATGTTGTCTCTCTTGCACGCACGGAAATAGCATTTTCTCATGCAATTGAAGGAATGGGATGATTTGGTGTAGATACAGCAATTTATTGTATTACATTTGATCTATTAGCACCAAGCCCGTCTGCTCAAGGCTGTGAATAACACCATAGCAGTTAGGTGTAGGTTGATGACTTTGATGTGTGTAGTTATGTGTAGGTAAATGGCTTCATCACAGCAGCTATGTGCTAGTAGACGACTTCGTTACATCACCTATATATAGGTAGATGACTTTAATATATATAGTTACATATAGGTAGATGACTTTAATGTAGCAGTTATATGTTAGTAGACGACTTTATTATAGCAGTTGCATATAGATGAATAACTTCAATACATACAGTATATAAAGCTAGGTTCTTTCTATTTACGGAATCTCTTTCTCTATCTTTAACAATACAGTTAAGATGTACAACTGCAATTAAAGCTAGCGTCAGAACCCTTAGGGTATCCCCATCTTCGTAGATCATACAGTAATACCAGCTGGGCCTATACTGGTCAACGAACATAACCAATTTATCTTACAGCCCATTGTTAATAACCAACAAATACAATACCCAGCCTGCCTCAATTATACAGTAATAATACCATTTCTAGTTGAGCATTGGAAGACTCTTACGACTCTACCAACTAACCCAACATCCCCTACCAGGCTCTACGCTAACCCCTAAGTACTTATAAGTACCCAAGCTACTTTATATCCTCCTTAAGGGCAGTTTGTTACTATAGAGATATTGCTATTTGGGTATTAGCTTATAGGAGAATGGTATATTGAGTTTCTCAATAATGTCATTGCTATAGGGCAATAGCATGCTCATCTAGATGTAACTTCTATATGGAATTACAACTAGCTTATTAATATCAATAATCTATACTGTAATGATAATATTACAGTCCCCGGCATAACTTGGCTAATAGCTGCTGTGGGGATGACTATCAATCTACCTGTAATTCGGGCGGTAGAGAGATTAGGTATGTATATTTAGAATGTTAATTAGAATGGGTATATTATGTAGATATAGCAGGGAATATAGTAATCTTATAGAATAGCTTAATGAATATGATATTATATTATTATTGGTGTTTCTTCTATTAGTAGATTAGTGGCTACTAGAGCTATTTTACTTTATATCTTCATTTTATAATAGCTTTATTAAATAAAGCTATTAAATTACTGAAGCTATAATTAGAGGTTTATCTTTTCTTTTTTATTTAAATAGTATATATTAATTAAATTTCCTATTATTTATACAAATTTCAGCAGGGGGTATCCTTATCTGCATACAATCTCTCCTATACTTAACGATCTCTCTTAGTAGCATCCCAAATATCTTGTATACCTTGCTGCCTCGAGAAAGGCTGCTCCGCCATCTCAACCCCTACATCCCTTTCAACTCGCTCATTCTCAGCCTTATCCCAATCAAGATAACTCATCATCTCTTCCTTCGACCAGCTTCTTGGAGTATTTCCTGCCCTACATTGACTCCCCATTTACTTGTAGTCGAGGCACCAGTCGTAATCTGCCTTCTTGTAACGTAAGGGCAGCCCCATTGCCTTGCGGTATTATTGATCAGTCCTGGAGGCTCTTCGAGGTAATATAGTAAACCAGGCTTCTCGTGCTTCTTTGTACTATTGGAAGATAGCACGGGGGTCATCAAATCGCAAGGGAGGTTCTGATACAGCTGCATGAGCAGGTTTTTGGAGAGCTGTTCTATGCGTTGTCTTCGTCTGCTTCCTGGTGCGGGCTCCGGTCTTAGATACAGTCTCAGATAGAGTCTCGGATATAGTCTCAGAGATGACAGAGCACCCGGTCAGGAATAATGGAGATGATGAGCGGGTAATAGGGCGAGTATGTGTATGTGTTGATGGAGGAGCCTGAGCAGGAACTTGGGTAAGAGCCTGTGTAAGAGCCTGAGTAATACTCTGCGTAAGAGTCTGCGTAAGAGTCTGCGTAAGAGCCTCAGTAAGGGCTTGAGCTGGAGCTTAAGCCGGAGCTTGAGCTGGAGCTTGAGCCTCTGCCTGATCCGTCAAAAGATGGCTGTAGCGTAAGGGGCATAGCTTGGAGTTCATTTTGTGGCCCTGCGTGTGGCATTTCGAACATGTTGGTGGTGCCTTTGGCCGTATAGCTTTCTCAACAGCTTCAAATGTACAGGGCTTATGTTGTGTACTTGTTGGTGGCAGCCTTGAGGTAGCTGCAAGATGATCAAACTGTCTGTGTGGCTCCATAATAAGCCGGGGGGTTCCTGAGCATTGGAGATACCAATGTGAATGGAAATGATATAGTTAAAGGGGCTGATTCTGCATAAGCAAGGACTTAAGAATGTGAGCACAAGGTAGACTAAGAGTCCTAGTGAAGACTCCTATACAGGCAGGAAGATCCATTAACAGTCGCTCCTGCTGAGCCTTAACCTTATATAAGGCTTTATGTAAGATCCAACTGCATATATTGCCGTATAAGGCCCCCATTAGTCGAAGAGGTATACCGATGTGCTATTTAGCTTAGTTGGCCTCGAGTTTAATTATTTGGTTTGTTACAACAAGCTTGATATTCCTCCAGGCCTCGTAGAGATCCTTCTTTGAGTTTTTCGCATAACACTTGACAAGTAGGTGAATACCCTCGTACCGTGATGTGATGGTTTGCTTAAAGTAACGGCTTTGATTAACCCAGGCCTTAACAAACCTCTCTTTAAAGAGATCCAGCTAGGTATCTAGAAGGTAGGTTACTTCGTCGATATACTTAGGAATATAATGCTTCTTGAACTCCTCAAGCCTCTTCTTATAGATATCCTCAGTCGGGGAGGCCACAAGCTCATTCCAACAGCTATTGAATCTTTCCCAATCTTCATCGCCCTGAGCTTTACTTTTATCTCGAACAACTGCGGGCATACAATAGGTCAGGACTGCTTTGCTAATATGCCATTGACATAGTAATGCAGTTAACTCAGGGAAATAAGAGGGAGAGGCAATAGCATTCATAAGGGCAAGATAGCGATCTGTTAGTATAATAGATGGAAGAGCTACTCCGTGAAGCTAATATATGGATTGTAGCTTCTTGATAACTCATAAATAGTCAGCTTCTTCCTCGCTACCGAGAAATACAAATGCAATATAGAAGGTTCGATAATAAGCATCAATACCAACTATATCTAGAAGCGGTATATTATACTTATTGGTCTTGTAGGTGCAGTCCAATATAAGCATTTCAGGATATAACTTGACATATCCCAATGACTGTAGATGGGCAAATATTACCGCATTAACTCTGCCACTATTATCGAGGTCGAATTGACTCTAGAAGCCCTCTTTTTGAAGCTATTCAGCAAGAGTATATATATTACTTTAACCTTCTAATAGATTCCATTTACCCCGTGCAACATAGTTGTGGATATCTTGGCCTGAGGCAAGTATATCCAAGGTTGTGTGCAAAAGGGATCTGATTTCCCGTGGTGCAATACCAGCATTGTAGAGTTATTAGACCTTTAATTCCTCTAGTGCTATTAGTCGACGATATATTGGATGTGCTTGTAGAGTATAGGTTGGTTTGTGATTATGTTAATCATATTTGGGCTTAGGGTGATGCCTTAGACTCCATCTAGTCCTGCAGATACTTTCCTTAGCTAGGACCGAGAAGAAGCATCCTGTACAGCGTGATATTATATTCCGTTGCCGATTCTATACAGAGCTAATAGTAGGGGCACGCCCTGCTCCACGGTCATAGATAAAGTATATTGAAGTTCTTTCATTGGCAGTCTTTCTAGACCTTCCGATCACAAAGGCATAACCTCGTGATGATGCCCAAGCATTAATTGCAGAATGCAACTCCTCCCTTAAGTCGTATTCGCCTTCAGGAGGAAGGGCATCGTCAGGGAAAATACAGGCAGCCTCAGTTGGGAAGGCATCGTCAGGGACGAGGCTGCCCGCGGCGGTTGAGAAGGCATCGTCAGGGACGAGGCTGCCCGCAGCGGTTGAGAAGGCATCGTCAGGGACGAGGCTGCCCTCCTCAATTAAGAGGGCATCGTCACGGGCATGGTGGGCGACCTCAATTGAGAGGGCATCGTCACGGGCACGGTGGGCGACCTCAATTGGGTCCATTCTAGCAGGATAAAGGCGCCGCAAGTGAAATTGATACCGTAGAAGCCGTAGATCCTTCAATTGAGGGCCAATTTGCCGTAGTCAAATGCCTCATAAGCCTACATCACTTACATAACGGCTCTTATTTGCACCCCCGGTGGTGCGAAGTCATGTGACTTATTTGCACCACCGGTGGTGCAGGTATGAAGACCCCAGGAAACAACGGCACTTAGTAATCAAACTGTGTGCTTCGAGTAAAATCTGTAGGATGGAGTACCCCCGCACTTTAGACATCAATGAACACACTGCTACTCCTCATTATCGATTCCCTGATCTTTGATCCTTTTAGCACGCTCAGTGCGACATTACCTGTTGGCTCATGTGGGCCTCCGGCGCAGGCGAGTCAACCTAACAAGCTGAGTTAATCGCGGACACGCTGTTGTAATCTGAGCCACAGAGAGTGATCCACAATAATGATCCACAACGCCAAGAGCTGCAATGCCGACGGAATGGTCTCCCTTCCCGGATCCAATGTCTCGTCGGGATACACGTCTTGAACAACACAAAGAGGGTCGTTTAATCACTGACCACCACTCCAGCACCCCTCAAACGTTTCACGGACGGTCACGCGCACCCCCCGAAACCCCGGTCAGCCACCTCAGCTCGACTAAGACAACGTGCAGTTCGGACTGGAAAGTGCATGACAGTTTTGGTGTTGCTGGAGGTTTGGGCATCAGGCAGCAATGGGCCAATGCATTTCCGGCAACGTTGGCCGGGAAAACACCGCATCCTGGCCGTTTTATCCGCCTTGGTTGGTGCTCAGCAGACAGGCAACTCATGGGTCTCCGTATCGTGTAAGACAGGAAGCTCGGCTACAACCAACAACCGCAATGCAGCAGCAATAGTGCGAATAGATAATGCAGACCATCTAGTCGGCTCTAAGCGATCTGCGCAGGGCGAGCCGGTCTGCCCTCCTACGACTTGATGCTGACAAGGGTATGCAGGGCAAGCGACACACCCTCAGCTTCTCACTGCTGCAGCCGTCCGTGTCTCCTCAAACTGAGGCAAGACACTACAGCCAATAATTACTATCCGGTCCCCTCACTGCCCTGCCACGATTCCCCTCTCGCACCACTGTCACTGAACGCCTGATGGTCCTGTGTCTCCGCTGCTACGTGGACAGCTGCCCGCTAGTATGCCCCTGTCTAGCGTGTGCTCGGATCTGCCTTGCTCATATGACTCTACCCCTACGACGGGGCTGTTGGGGCTGCAGCCGGTCAAGCACGCCGTTTTTGGGTCTTCGATATGGTTTCCATCAAAACAAAAAACGGCAATGGATCGATACTGTTTTCTCATTCCCCGGAGAGGGGATAACGTACACCATCCTATTAGATAGTAAATAAGATTAAGGCAAGTTTACAGCTAGTTAGATAACCAAAAATGACAATAACAGCACGACTTGGACCGTTCTAATCAACTAACCCCATATTACCCCTGCAGGCTCTTCTCGCGGCGATGTATGCGCATTCTGTATTGATGAAACTTGGAATGGGAGTGTTATAGTTGTATGCATACTAGCTCAATCGACCAGCTATTCCTGGCACTTACATACAAAGCAGCTGCTTAATATTTCCTTGATGATAGTCACAATGATCTCCTGTGCATACAAGTATTATGCTTATTGACTGAATTGCTCTGCAATGCTTGTACTTCTACATGTTGTACGACCATTAGATGCTTGCAGGCGCTTTAAGAAATCTTGGGCGCTATGTTGCATTTGCTATTAGTATCGGTCCAAGTAGAAGAGCTACTGGAAAGGTGTAAAAAGGTGTTATACTAGTGAGTCGGCTTCTGGGATTCTAGTAGGTTACAACTTAATTATTTACTTATAGAGTAAAAAGTACTTATCCTTATATTAATATCTAGAATGCTAGTATAAAGAATGTATAACTAAGTACGGGCATCTAATAGGTTGTAAGGATAGAAGCTAGGACTGTACTAGGCATAAGCGGAGTGTGCATTCACTCTTGCTAGCCAATCTAGCAATATTACAATAGATATATTGCATTACCCAAACCATCTTATATAGGAGAATTAATTATAAGAATCTAATGTAATGTAGGGCCGAATAATTATTATCTACTAGGAATGTAAGAAGAGTGTGTATAATTTGCACGGAATAGTCTAGAGGAAGATGCGTGCAAAGTGTAATTAATGGTAAATTTGCTAGTAAGGAGCTCTTGCAACTTATATCCCTTAGCGAGTATTCTACTCTAAGAACGCCGTCCTTGCCAACTAAATATCCTTAGAAAAGCTTTAGCTTGGCCGAATTCGCTTATTTGAATTACCAGTCGCCTTCTTAACATCCATTGTCTCCGACTTCCATGCTCGCTTGTTTGGCACCAGCTGCGCCAATCAGGGTAGGGAATCAATCCATCCACGTCAATATACAACTTTGTGGATTGAATTAACGGCTTACTCAGCAGAGTGCTCGTGGATTGATGTCCACGAGGCTATCCGTGGATTGATGTCCATAATATTGAACCCATGGAAGACCCCTGTCACATTAACTCGGATTTCCTAATCGGGCAATTCGGGAACCTATCGCTAAAATTTCAAATGCCTCACTCCTACTACTCCTCCAAATAAGCCCGTCTAACAGCCTCCTCCAATATTATATCATTAAGTAATATACTATCGATATCTTTAATAATTCCTATACATAACCAAGATTGTAGCATTTAGATTAGTCCAATCGTCCTAGCATTTAAGCAGTTTCGGAGGGGCATAACTATTAACCCAGTAGCAGAGAATAATCTCTTATACTTCAAGCTTATAGCTAGTACTATTATAACATCAAGAGCTATTTGAGATAGTCTTAGGTACTCAAACCTCTTGAGGATCCAATACTTAACTAAATCTACAAGGTCCTTGTTGCTTCTAGATATACTGGCCTACCAGCGGATATATTTATCTGCTTGAGTAGTAGAGGGTTGGCTTTAATAGTATTAATTACAATACCGATCAAAGAAGGATAAGGTCGTCTTTTGCCTCTTTACAACTAGATCTTCAGGAGATATAACTATAATTTATAAGTCCCTATATTCCATCTCCCAAAGATATTGTATAATATCTTTTGCTTTATCGACTCAACTCGGGTACTATTAACCCCAAATCTCGTTGAAATAGTCCCATTGTAGGCTAGAGTATAAAATAGCAGTAGCATAATATACTAGCAAGTCCCTTAAAGTATTGTAATATTTATTAAGCTTCTTCTAGCTAAGGTTGATATTAATACTAAATTACTCCAGCTTAGAATGCCTCTTAATATGCAATTTTGCATCCTTAAGCCTTCTAAATAGAAATTTAAATACCTCCAGCATATTAGTTATAAAGCTAAAAATTTCTCTAACTCTAGACAATTAATATTGCAACTATCTATCTCCCTGAAGTACTTATACAACTATATGAAAATCAAAGAGGATCTCATTAAATATTCTTAGTACCACCTAATTGCTCTTATTAATAAAGCTCAACTCCTTAAGGTAAAAAGAAAACTTCTATCCTCCCTTACCTTTCTAAGCATCTTAAAATAGCCTCTTAACTTTAGCAATAAATTCTTCATAAAAGGGCTGCAATTAAAGTATTCATTTTATTATATAATATTAAAATAACTATCTAGTATTATTATTAAGAATAACATCAACTACCTATTACTTTCTATCTTTAAAATTACTAGAAGTTATAAATAAGTCTTATTATAGTTAATAAAGTAACTAAATTAGTAAGTTAAACTAATAGACCCAAACAATAAAGTTATACATCTTTCTAATAGAATTCTTCTACATTTAATTATTATAGGTTACTCTTACTAAAAGCTTCCTCTTAATAATAAATTTCTTAAATATATTAATATTCTTTTTAAAAAAAAGGGATTTAACAATAAGATTAAGAATATATTCTATATATTAAATATATTATTAAATCGGATTAAACTTTAGCTCTTCTACAATCTCTAATATTACTATTTTATTATTTACTATATTATTAAGAATAAAATAACCAATCTTATTCTTAATACTAAATAACCTAATAATCTCAAGAATCTCAGCAGTAATATTCTTGTCAGTATATTACTCTACTAGCTCTAGAATGCCAAGTACAACTTTTTAAAGTTAATTCTTATAATCTCCGAAGATAGCTATTACGCTATATAACACATAATAATTCTTAGTCCTTATACTATTAAAAACAATATAGATCTAACCTAGCAACCTCTTCAAGACCTATTAAACTATACTATAATATTGCTTAAATTATTATACCGCCAGTCTATATACAATCTTCACCATAATATACATATTTATAACCTTAACTGCTAGATTAAGTTATTTAAAAATCTATTGCAATTTAGAGTATTCAACCTACTTAAATAATTACTAGCTTTTAACTATTTAGTTAATAATAAGCTTCTAAAACTCTCTTCAATTAAAGTATTTAATTAAGTTATTAGCTAGTACTTAATTCTTTAGATTAAAACATTTAAGGCTTATAAAGTCTAAAATAGAAGTAAGTACCCTCTTACCTCCTTTCTTCTCTAATAGTATTAATCGTCGTCCTAATGGCTCCTAGTAGCTATAAGCTTTCTAGAGGTAGAGTTCAGCATTTTAAATGCCTTTAGATTTATATAACTACAACATAGGGGTCTTCTAGCGTATATATAGCATACAGATCCATCGTCGGGATATTTAGATTGAATCTTAACTCTGTAGTTCCATACCTATAATAGGATATCTTGCTACGCTCGGCCAGCGTAAATCCCTTCCAGACGCAGAAGATCCTCCGCTCCTCATTACCTATTGGTGCCCAAGTAGAAGGCTGGCGGACTTCAGGGTCCAGATCCAGAGCAGGCCGAGGGACCTCGACATGCCCCTCGTTATTAGTCGGTAGTTTAGGGTCAAAAGGGAAGTCCGCCATCTCGAGATTAAAGATTCCCCGACCGTATGAATCAAGTAAATAAAGAGACATTTTGGGCTTAGGCGTTATAACGCATTACGACGTGTCAAAACACATCCGAGGTATTACCTAATTAAATCTATTAGTGGTTGCGTAGAGATATATAGCAAATATTAACAAAATATATCAGGGCACCCATACCCCTAACTAGCGTCCACGTCAATCCATATCTCAATCCATGAGCCCCTAACAGTAGATGGATTGATTACATAACAACAGGTCTCGTGGATTGACGTTAATGTAGATTGAAGTCAACATATTGATCAATACCGTGGAAGTCATGGATTGATTCCCTACCCTGGCGCCAATGGACAACGAGGCGGCTTGAGTAGCAAAGCCCGTTCAAAGTCGATCACCATAACCCCGTTGGTCTCAGGATTGAATAACATATTCGCAAGTCGCACATCCTTGTGGATCACCCCCTCTCGATGCATGGCTCTTAAGGACCGAATGGCCTTGTCTTCGAGTAACCTATTTATGTCGCCAATTTTCTGTGCTTTGTTGATGCTACACCCTCCCCAGGACAAAAATATTATGTGCACCACATAGACCCGATGGTTATAGTAGTAAATCTTATTCATCGATCGGAGGTTGATAGCACCTAGGAAGACAGGCATATAGATACCATAGATTAATTTGAGATGCTTGTAAACTACAGTCTTGTACTCGAGGTCTTTAATAAAAGCCCGCACTATACTCTTGCTAATAAAGGTATAGCTATATGCAAGTAGGGTTACTTGGAAAAGCACACCCTGCACACCACCCTCCTCTAATAGCTTAATTCTATTGTTAAGAGACTATTCTAGCTGCTTCTAGAATAGGCAAAGCTATTTTTTATAATTAATAAAATGATATGTACAGGCGGGAGTACAGCTCTTATAGTAAAATGCTATATTCAGACACTTTGGGTCGAGAAAACCACCCTTAACCATCCCGAGAAGGCATTTCTATATACAATACTATCAACTCTACTTGCCGCCTCCTCCGCGCAGCCATAATGCTAGTTGCTAGCTCCGCCTAGTTTCTTATCTTATATTTCGTCCGGTTGGCATAGGTATATCTAGTAGTTTGGGCGCCGACTTGTCGTCAGATAGTTCCCGCCTATCATTCTTCCTTAACAACTCTTTACTAATCTAGCTCTTAGTAATTTGATATTTTCTTCTGTATAGCAAGGCCGGCAACTAATTGACGCTTTTGTAGGTAGTAGATTTACGACCAGGTAAGTAGTCTAATAATGCTAATTATTTATTTTCTGAAATAGAGTATAATATCAATTTAAAGTCCTCAGCTTATATTTTCAAGTTCTCTATAGCTTTTTAACATTCCTCCTGCCCATTCTCCTATCATTCTTCTAGCAAATTGAGAGCTATAAGGATAAATACTAGATATTGACTAATAGCTATATAGATATAGAGGTTGTTTAGATAAGCTAATATCTTCAAACTAGGCTCTGCTAGATGATAGTATAGTATCTTAATTCATCCCAATTAACTTTGAGAAATAACAGCCTTGCTAGTAGTAAGAAGACTATATTTAAGGCTACTTTTAATTATATAATAATATATCTATATAATAATAGATACCGTTAGCTTCTCTATATAGTACTAGAAATACATCAGGGTCTATAGAAGTTGGAATTATCTTTTAGTTTATAACTTCCTTATAAATGTTATAGCGCGGAGACTAAGACAAAGATGTAGAGCAGTCAACTTATAAGGTAGCTTATACTTGGAAATATAAATTATAATATACCGGGAAGATAGGGTATCGTTGGATCGATAGACGCAGATTTAATCCAGTTATAGCTAGTTGAGGTCCCTTTGATAATCCGGCGTCTGTGGTGGTGTCGATGGGGTCTCCCTGTCCACGACTTCCTCGGCGACGTCGCTGAGGGCATGGGGATGGTTCTCAAAGACGACACCATCTCCGATCTAAAAGGCCCTCCTGACCTCTTCGACCTCTTTGAGCTGTTGTATGATGGCTCTGACCGGATCCTCTACGCTATTATGCAGGAAATATTCGAGCGTCTTCTCGTCTGCTATCGGCCGTTGAGAGATCCTGTTCCCCAAGCCGGCCAGGAAATTTCGGTTCTCGAAAACGCGGCTTTCGGTAGGGAATGAATCGTAGAGTGTTCCGAAGGTGAGCTTCTGTTGATCAAGGAAGTCGGGCCATGGTCTCAGATTTTTGGGACACCACACTATCTTGTAATGGATTCGTCATCATCTGCTCTACTTGAAAGGTTGCGTGGTCGAACGCCTGGCAGCACACTCAGCAGTCTCGGGCTGAAGACGTACAATGATATTTTTGGCGCGGCAAACTGGAATACAAACGCAACACCAAGAGAATCACATTCTGTCCAACCAAGCATATCCGATCGTTTTCCGGATGTCCAGCCTGTGGGCCTGGCATTAAGGAGGTCACACTCTACTGTCCAACCGAGTGCATCTAGTGATATTCCAGAAACCGTACTTATAGACTCGGCACTAGAGGGATCGCAATTAACTGGTCAATCAAGCAAACCAGGTAATCACCAACAATACCAATCAAGTGTAAATCAAAGCAACAATGCCAATGCGCAAACACAGGCGGCAGGAAACTAGATAAGTCGGCCACCACCAGGGAGCACAACGCCAATACAAGTGCCTCCAAGAAAAAGAGGCAGATCGCAAGATTCTCATATACCAAGGCGGAGAGATATTCAAAAAGGAAATCAGGTATAGGAACATCAGCCAAGTGCATACCAAGCCGATACTATTAATACTTAAATACAGAGACCTGAAAGCTAGATGAGTCGACCGTCGCCAAGGAGTACAACACCAATATAGGCGCCTCCAAGATTAAGAGGCAAACCGCGAACTTCTTGTGCATTAAGATAGAAAGATGCCCGGGAAAGAAACTGGCGGCAAAGGATATAAACCCAATAGTAAAGACCACTGGTTGCTGTTGGGACCCCCCCAGCTAGTTCCCAGTTGCCATCTACCTAATGCTTTACAATGTTAAAAAAGGAGGTTGCAATAAGCATAGCAATTAAAACCTGTAGAGGATAAACTGGATTGATGTGGATATATAGTAAGACTGAGGTTTTAAGATTGCCGATAAGAAGTTGGCGTAAAATGCAAGGCTAATCAATATGGATAAGAATAAAATAAAAGATAAAATTAAAGATAAGTTGAGAATAGCAACCTTAAAGAGCAAACTTAGGTATTAGAGAGGGCTATTGAGTATTTAGAAGATGAATTTACAAAGAAAAAGAGAATATCCTACATAAAGAATTAGTAGAAGCCAGTCTTCTATTAGAGAAATATATCTATAGTTATAGACTTTTATTAAGTATTTTATAATATAAATACCCTACCTATATATATATATATAATATACTATTAGAAGATTAGTATTATAAAGATAAAAAAGCTTAGCTAGGAAGAGTAAATAAATAATATAGCAATAAATAGCTACTATATATATTTATATTTAAATTGCTTTTCTATTAATAAGGCTATATCAAGCTATAAAAACTATATAATAAAAATCCACAAATACAATATAGCACAAAATAGAAACTTATATTAAGTACTTAGCTATAAGTATATATACTTAGATACTCTTAGAAACTTAATATTAATTAAGAAGAAGCTAATTATACTTAATATCTATTTTAACTTTATTATAAGAATTAAAATAATAAAAAGCACTAAATAGAATACAGCATATATATACTATATAAAGAGTTATATAACTATATTTCCAAATAGTATTTAAGACTTAGTTATTATAGTATTACCACATTCACTTCTACAATCTTTAGAGGACATCCATATATCCTAGTATAGACTACAGAAACCAGCTCCTAGCGATTTATCTAAGTTACTCTTAGTCCGGCAAGGAGCTGTAGAACGGGCATTGCTTTAGCTAAAAGAATTTAACCCCTACTATTAGTATATCCAAATCAACAAAGCCAAGTTAAATAGTTAAGGAAAGCCAGCATATAGGATTCCGAGCCAGATCTATAACAAAATAGAGAGAGATAAGCCATCGGCATGGGAAGAAACACGAATAGCACATATTATGCCCCCGGAAGAACATGGAATAGATAACACTAAGCCCCAGTTACTCGAACAGATTGTAGACGGGCTAGGCAGAGCGTATAATGAGAATGATATACCAGTAAGTTACGACGAGGATTAGCAGCTTTATAATGAGTGCAGTTGGAAGGAGCTTGAGTATGAGGGTATGGGAAGCTTTCTTAATAAGATGCTTGCATCTAGTATGTTTCCACTGGATATAGCACTACAAGCAACTAATACCAATAAACTACAATTTGCCATTAATATAATTAGAAGTAGACACATAAATATATAAGTATAGCTGCCCAACTAGCTAACTAGGAGTATATAGAATTTGCACCTTCAGCTATATATTTATATTTCAAGAGGCAATAAGTTTGTAGATATCAATAATCTCTAGTATCTTGTAAAAGCATTTCCAATACTATTTCCCTTTAGCTTTTATTAGAGGTTATAAGGTAGTGGAAGAATAAAATTAATTATAGATAAAAGAATATCCTTATAAAGAATATATAGATAAGAGATAAGATAAGAGATAAGGGATAATAGTGTAAAATAGTGTATAATAGTGTATAATAGTGTATAATTAATGATAATAATATATAAAAGTTCAGAATTTACCAGAGGGTCTCTAGCTTTTTATAGACAATTTCTCAAAATCTAGCTATTGTAGCTAGACAATAAGTATACTATTAAAAAGCTCAAAAAAGCGGCTTTTTAGTGGTACTATTATTGTTATCTAATGTCTAGAGGATTCTAAGTAATTCTGCTTTGAAATCAAGTCTTACTTTGAAATTAAAGGTAGTTTAATTTGAAATTATCAAAGATATAGAGATATATTGTATACTATAAAAAAGCCTAAAAAAGCAGCTCTTTTCTAGTATAATCTTTATACCTAAAATACTTATACTTTCTAAAGTATCTAGATTGTAAGTTAAAATAATTTGGAATTAAAAATGATTCTAAATATAATGGGGCTATTATCTTTTCTATACAGTATAAACAGTATAATTAATACTGTATTTATACTGTATTTTAGTGCTATTTATATAGTATAAATAGTATATTAATACTGTATTATATTTATTTATAGAATTAATTAAGATTTAATTCTTAAGGTTAAAGATATATATTTATATATTTATTTAGTCTTTAATATCTTTTTTAAATCTAACTTCTTTTTTAATATTAGAGTCTTTTTAATATTTTAAAGGCTTATAGAAAAAATATATATACTGCTATTATCTTTTTTTTATTGCCTGATATATTAGACTAGGCTAGTAAAAACTGTATTAATTTATTTTAATAAATTAAATAATTAAAAGCTTTTAGAATCTTTTTTTTTACCTAGTATTTCTATAAGCTGATATATAATTAGCTTTATATAAATTAGATAGTAATATTCTTTTAATTTATTTAAATTTAACTAAGAATAATCTTATTTTCTTAGCTAGCTATAATATAAAAGAAGATTTATTTCTTATAATAGCTATTAATATTTATATTTATATATATTATATACTTAATAATACTAAATAAGATAATATTTACTTATACAAATATTTATAAAATAATTAGAATATATAGTAAATATAGCTTATAAATAAAAGCCTTAGTAATTATTTTATAGTATAAGTATTTACTATTAATAAAAGCTATAGAGTAATACTCTTAATTAATTTCTATATTAATATAGAAAAATTAGCTATTTATCTAATATTTTAGCATTTTTTACTTAGCTTAAGCCTATTAGTACTCCTAATAGTACTTTTAGTTAGAAGCTATTTATTTTCTAATTCTGCCTCTAACTCTACCTCTAAGGTTATTTTATTCAAGCTGCTATTTTTATCTTTTTTTTTAGCTAGCTTTTAGCTGCTCTTATTATCTATTTTAGCTTTTTTATCTATTTTTTTAAGTCTTACTTATTCTCTT